TCACCAGAATTCGGGGGCAGTTCTGGCCTGCTCCTCTTTGGCCAGAGTCGCCTTTTGCCACTCATGTAAGGTTTAGAGGTCCGGGTTCAGGGTTTAAGGCTGAGGGCTTAGGGTTTAGGGCTGAGGGTTTAGGGTTCGGGGTTTAATGTTATCGGTTTGGGGTTTGGGGGGTTAAGCCGCAAATAGGGTTGAGGGCTCAGAATATCAAGCCGAAGATGCAACCTCCATTCTCGAGTTAGGGTGAAGGGCCAGCGGCTTTGAGGCTTAAGATTCAAGGCTTTGGATGTGGGGTTTAGGCTTTGGGTTAGATTGTCGAGTGGTTAGCGTTCACCACGTGCGAAAACGCGTAGGCTTTAGGGCCTGGGCTTTGCGTGTTTCGGGTTCAGGGCTTAGGGTGCCAATCAGGGTCTAGTCTAGGGGCCTCTATGGCAAGGAAAGTATGAAAAATTCAACGTGTGGGACGGCTCTTCTCCTGAAGGTCGGTCTCGGAAAGCGCTCAACCGGAAGCCGCAAACTCAGAACAGTCAACCCAAGACCTTGAAGCGCCCTGGGCTCCTAAACCCAAATAACCCTTAACCCCTAAGCCCTAAAGCCCAAGACCCTAACCACTAAACTCCTAAACTCTAAACTCCTAAACCCCATAAATCTCTGCAAGCCCTAAACCTACACAAGCCCCAAGCCTGAGCAAGCCCTGGACCCGAAGCCGTTGCTCAGTGTGCCACCCGCTCGCGTGGAGGTGCAGATTTCGCCTCACCCAGGTGGTAGGAGGTGTAAAGGCCCCTTTGGGATCTATAGGGCTCCTTAAAGGGATCTATGGGGGTTTAGGGTTTAGGGTCTACTAAGCGGTCTGTGTTGTGGGGCGGCTGAGAGGTTTAGGGAACTGCGATATTTTAGGGTTCAGGAGTTTGCGAACTTGGGGTTGGCGATTGAGCCATGGTCTTGTGAACCATGCTGTTTGGCAGCACCATACAAGCTAAAGGGCAACTGGATGATAAGAGAGAGACAAATCCAGTGGACCTTCTTTATTTTGCCATTCTACCAGTGCGGCCGGAAATGCGTCCCAGAAATCATGCGGATGAAGAATTCTTCCAATGGTTCCATGAAACCGAGTAGGCCTCCCTGAGACATCCTGAGCTAGAGATGTAGATTGGTTTCGGACACCCCAAACCCCAAACCGTACTCGAGACACTCGGCGGTGGAGGATGCACGGACTCAAAGACAGGAAAACCTGCATCACGACCGGTATGATGCTACCAAGGCTTGCAGCAACATTTTACAGCACTGAACGCTTTCGCCAAAACCCTAAACTTAAACCCCTCCAGCCTGAGCCCTAAGAATCTACCAAGAGACTCCAATATCCCTTCATTAGGGAATATACCTTAAATCATATTAGGGATCCTACTATACTTTAAGGAATATTCCTTAATAAAGGCATGTTGGAGTCTCTGGGTACCAAGCATTACCCATAATAAGGAATATACCTTAATTCCCATAGTTTAGGGTCCTTAAGGTAATGCAGGATTTATATCATCAACAGTAAGAACCTACCGAGCAGAATACCTCGCAGACTCTCAAGGCCTCCAGCTGCAGCGACTGCAAGCTGTCGTCCGCCTGAACCCGGCCGAGACTCAACTCTACTTAGAGGATCATGGGACCTAGTAAGTAGGGTTATGAGATCTATAGGGCTCCTTGAAGGGATCTATAGGGTTTAGGGTTTAGGGTCTACTTGACTTGGAGGATCAGGGGGCTTAGTAAGTAGGGTTACAAGTAGGGTATCTATAGTTATATGTACCTATAACCTTAATTAAGGCACATATACCCCTACTTACTAAGTCCCATGATCCTCTAAGGCCAAGCTTTAGTCCCATGCGCATCACCTCTCAAGCCATGCCATGGGTTCGGACGGCAATCCACGACGTTGGCATTGACCAGAAGCACCGAGGTTTAGGTCTCCTAAATCCTACATTCCCCCTCCAGGAGTCCTAAATCACCCCCAAGATCCCAAACGAGGAGTCCTAAACCCAACCAAGGACTCCCACACTCTCCTAAACCCCCAGACGAGGAGAATCTGTAACAAGGAGTCCTAAACGCTAATATCCTAAACAAGGAGTCGTAAAACATGAAATCCTACGCGAGGAGCCCCGAACCTTCAACCCTGAAATCGTCAAACGCCTGCTTGAGCAAGCTGAAGATGGTGGCGCTCAGCGACGCTCTGTCAGACACAGGGGCCTGAGCTGCAGGAGGCACCAAAGCCTGTCTGGACGGTATAGTGATAGTGCTGCAGGGTTTGGGAGCTAGAGATGCGAAATAGAAGCGCCGCTTTTCGCACCAAGAGCCACAGAGCTCGAGATGCCAGGTTCAGGAGTTCAGGGTTTCAGGTTTAAGGCTTAAGGCTTTTGGCGAAACTTGAAGTTAAGGGCTCAGGGATGAGAGCTTGGGATTCAGGGCCTTCAACTCAGAAGCCACGGGAGTCCCGAACCCTGCACCGTTTAACTTCACCGCTTTAACGGCAAAGGGCCTTAGGAGGCGGCAACTGTGACAACCGCTCTCCTTCTCTACACCACAGACGCCTCGCAAGCCCTGCGGAGGGCCCGAGGTTTCAGGTTTCGGCTACGAGTACGAGAACTCAATCAGCTTCACTTCTGGGCCCAGGCTGTCCGTAGCCGCTGTAGCTCTTCGCTGGCGTGGCCCGCCAAAGCCTTAAGTGCGCTGAAGTGAGCTGTGAGATCCTGCAGGCCTTAAGTTCAAAAATTATGGGACATTCAAAAGACTCCAAGTTCCATTAGATGCTTCGTAGTTTTTCGAGCATGGCTGCTGCATGCTGTTTGCAGGGATGGAGGGTCAGGGACCCTTGCAACTGTTACCCTCCGCACACCGTCTGTACTATTCCAGCCGGTTCTCATTTTGGACAACTGTCTATTGTTGCACAACTCTCATTGTCTTTGGTTGCTCCTAGTGCTCTCATTGAGAACTCGCTATTGATACGTTGCCGTGGCAAAAAGCACGATTGCGCAATGGTTTGCGTTTCTTGCTGTCTTGCACCTGTTACCACTAGTCCCACTATCAAGAGTCTTCTTGGCACTACAATGGATACTGTGGATGCTATGACGTTGTTGTCACTCAGAATACGAAGTATCACTACCATTACCAATACTATTACTACCACCACTGCCAATGCGACTGCGACTACTGCTGCTGCAGCACCACGGAAACGACTACGATGTAGCATTCGCGCAGGTTCCCAAATCCTAAAGCCCAATGCTCTGAAACGCTAAGTCCGAAAAACCTTTGAAACCCTAGCAACGGAAACCATGAAGCCTCAACACGAACACCCGAAACCCATGAAAACACCCAGGCCCTGGCAGAAGGCAAACCAAGCAAAAGGGACCAAGCGCATGCAGCAATAGTTGGTGCACTGGACGCAGAAACTTGTAATGCAAACTGATGGACAATACAACCGCACTGTACCAACAGCGTTGAAAACCTTACCGTACAACAACCTAAAAATCACAAAACCCCAACAAAACCAGAACACCAATCAAAAAGATAGAACCCCCAACCTGGAGCCCGAAAAACTGCGATTGCTTGGGCGACTGGCATCTCTAGCGAAACACTGAGACCCACGCCCGGCATTCCGCAAGGTGTTCTGCAAACATTGTCGTCAGCTCAAGAGAGCCAAACGCTGCGTTCCAAGATGGCCTAGGGTTATGTGCGTGCATACAACGAACCAAAAACCCTGAAAGGTTTTTTTGTAGCGTCCCTGGATGGAAGAGGGCGGCTTTTGGCTTCCTTAACAAAAAAACACACTCCCACACCACCGAACATCATGAACTTCTCATCATACAGGCCATGGCTGTCTTGTCATTTTGCATCTTAGGTTAGTTTGCCATTCCCGTTTCCTGGCAATCCCCAAGATCACCTTCGGTTTTCTCCTCACCTGTGTGGTCCTCCCCATGACGTCGATCACCATCGAGTTCGTCCATCATCTCCATCACCATGCTTGCAGCCACATTCGGCTCCCCCCAAGCGGCTTCCTTCACACACACTCCCTATCCTTTTTTTTACTGCGGACGGGCGAGCTTTGGGTCTCTCATAACCTTGAAACCGCAAGAACTTCACGCCCAAAACAAGCGAGCATGTCCTTTTCGTCTAGCGATCTTGGCAATAAACAAGATAAGATGACATGCGGACTTCGAAAATCAAATATGGGCTTTCAATGTGAAAACAAGTTGTGCTAGCACGTCCTTCCCCTTCAACCCCTCACATGTTGAACAAACTTCGGACTTTTGCAAGTACTCTGAGCCTGAATGTTACGTCGATCGTACATGCTTCGCATGATCAAAGTAGAAAACTACACGAGTGGTCAAAAGCTACAAAACTGTTCTAGCAAAATAAGAGTACAGGGCATAGGGGAAAATGTTGATCACCCCGCCCGGACATCCCCAGTGACTTAGACTGGAAGATGTTCGCATCAACATACAGCGTACGATACATCACAGTAGCGACCACTTCTTACTACAGTACACGGCTCAACAAGTCAGCGTAGCTACGATCTAAAGTCGTCTATACACTACGCGCACTCCATCAAAGGCTCGGGCAGCCTATGACGAAATGCAAGCTTGACTCACCCAAGCGTAGGCGTTGCAAATGGGCTCCATGCAGCTCTGGGCTGCCCCACCACGACAAAGCATGATTCCTAAGGAATCAGCACAAGGATTGCGATGCCTAATTGCATCGAGTGGCTCGTGAGCCTACTCATTCGGACTCGCAGCTGCTCCACAGCTGCCAAAGGTGTTGGTAAGTGAATCAAGATTGACAGCAAAATGCTGTTTCCAAAGTCCTGTCAGTTTCTGCTCAAACACAAGACTATGTACAGTCGTCGCTGGTCGTCAATGACACACACACAAAGGTAGTGCCACTGACTATGTACAGATGGCCAATGCATCAGCATCATGAGCATTCAAGACCCAAGTGTGTTGCGACACGCAATCCAAGGATCATCACTTTTGTTTCTTGCTGCCACCAAAGCAACTTCCGCACGGCTTGTAACCTCGCTCACGGGCTGTGGCGATTCCAAGCTTCACGATCTCATCAGCATTGTTAAGACAAGTGCAATTCCTGCTTTTGTGGTACGACTTGCCTCGTCTCAAAGTGCAATAAACATGCAACTCAGGCACATGCTGGATCACATCGTTGGAACCGCGTGCGGCATCGCCATCTATGAAGATAGCACGGTTCGGCTCTGGCATTGGCAGCGTTCTCTCTCTTGCTCGATCTTTCGCCTCGTGGTATTCTCCCCAAGCGATACGGTCGTAGTTCATTTCAGCGATCAATCTGCTCAAGCGATCGTTCTCTTGCTCAGCGGCATGCAGTGCGGCTCGCACCCGTCGCAGGCACATCATGATTGCCAGGCAAAACGCTGAAAGGCTGCAGGTGAAAGTCAATGGAACCCAATTCCACCAACCGTCGGTTCCCTGCTCGTACACTTCCTCGGTGGATGTGCTGGCATTGCTCACGTTCAAGGTGATGTCATCTTCATTGCCCTCTGTGGTCCATAGCCGCCCAAGGCTCAAAGATTTCAAGGCAAGAAGGATAGCACATGTGCAAATCACCAAGACGGCCAGCGACTGCGCCCACCGTGCATCATCATCGGTCTGCACACCGACCTCACGCCTGGTACCACTGCTCTCGGCACCTTGCACAAGCGATAGCATCATCACCATCATTGCAGCGTTGAAGCTCTGCATCCCGTTGCTCTTCAGCGTCTTACACACAAGTCTGCGAACCCTCTGTGTTTCACGCTCACGCTGCAACTGCTCCAACAACGCATCATGCTCTGCACGGCCTACCTCCTCTATGCAGTCACCCGCACAGCACACAAAGTCATGCATGCACAACAAAGCACGTAGGCGGGATCCTGAGCACGGCACCTTGGTTCCCAGATCCGATGGGTTCCTCCTCCCATCGACCGGCTGCACACGGAGTGTGCGATCGGCTGTCTTCTCCTGTATCCAGAGAAAGCGTCCGCTCAAATGCCGAATCTTCGATACACCTTGCTTCAAAGATATCTGTCGACAGGAGCTGTTATCAGTCCTCATCAGAAGATCTACCGGTAGTTCAAGCAGGTATTCAAGAACTCTTTTCAGGTAGATGCCGTCGCACGCCGCGGACACCAGGGCGTAAAATTCGCTTTCCGCACTACTGAGGCTTACGCAGCGTTGGCTCTTACAGGAAGTATAGACGCAGCAGCTGTTCAAAAAGAACGAGCTGCTACTCATCGACCGGCGCGTCTGCTTGTTGCCGCTCCAGTCTGCATCACAGAACACCTCCAGCCGAACGCCATCAAGACACTCCTCGGCATCAGGTGGCTCAAGAATGCTTGCTCGATCGCCCTTGGCATGCACCTTGCTTGCGTAGCCGGCCGTTCCAACAAGATACCCTGCAAGGCGTTGCGCAAACTGCCAGCCGCGCTCGGTCGGTGCTTTAAGGTTCTGGGCTAACACCCTCACCGTGAAAGCAATGTCACTCCGATCCTGTGACACATACATGCCTATCCCAACGGCGCTGCGGTACTTGGCTGCTCGAGCAGAGTCCAGCTCCTTGCTTGCATCCGGCATGAGAAGCTCCTTGGTGCACGGCGTAGGGAACTTTCGATGCAACGGCACATCAAGAAGGTTTGCCATATTCACAGCATGGTCCGCAAGTGGCTTTATCAAGATCCCATCATCAAGAATTATGTGCTCTCTTTTAAGAAACTTGAAGCTGTCTCCAGGCATGCAGGCTACCTCGTAGGACACTTCAAAGGTTTTCTCAAAGCTTGGGACTAGCTCTTTAAGAAGCCACTGGACAAACCCAACCAGGCACAAGTCATCTACATGTATCAACCCGGGGTTTACACGGCCCTTGGGATCAACGATCTTATACACCGATGGGCACTCAGCACAGCTTGTGAGCTTGTGCTCCTCGCGGATGTAGTTCATGATGAATTGATGCCATCGGGCTGTCCCGTCCCGCTGTCCAGGGAGCATCTTGAGAAACCGCATTCGGCTTGCAAACCCAGGGATCTTGGCCAGCATGGGACGCTCCTGAGGGACGTTAAGAAAAGCGTCACGCACATCAAGCGGGATCACTCCTATGCGGTCGGTCTCATCAGGAGACTCTCTGGCTCGCCGGCTGAGCTCGCAATACAGCCACGGCAAAAGCTTGGTGGTGATGGCTGACGTTGCTGGTGCATAAAGATCCTCTCTGTCCCGCTCCAGCCATCGGTACTCGCGAGCTACCAGCCTCGACCGTCTAAAGTACATCATCTTGCCTTTGTGCAGTTTCTTACGCCATGTCCTCACGAACTTCGAAGACAATTCCTTGTGGTCCGACGTGTCCACTTCATCCCCGATCTCCTCAAGGACGCCTTTGCGAAGCAAGCGCTGCACCTCGAAAGAATCAGCGATTCGATCAAGCTCCTCTTGCTGTTGCTCGGACAAATCAGGGATCGAATCATACCAAAGACACTCTTCGTTGTCAAGGGCACGGCTGTCTTCAGTGTTGGTCACATCCCATTCAGCTGCAGCCTCATCTGACACCTCAAGATACCTTTCAGCATCCTCCCACTCAGGGGCTGATTCAAGAACCTCATCATTGATGGGAAGCTCCTCAGCGCCAACCCTGGCGATGCGCTGGTACTTGGATGCCTGCCCACTGGGCTGCAAATCGATAGCATCTTGCGCCCGCTTTGCAACATCGATGAGAAGATCATCATCTGTCATCGGTATCACCGGCGTTCCGCCTTCAGGAGACGGCGGATCAGAAGCAGCAACTTCCATTGGTGATTCAAGCGGCGCTGGGGCTGCAGCAGGCTCAACAACACTTGTCGGAGCACGATCAGACCGATCAAGAAGAAGCGTGGCTCTCGAAGAAGGCGCTGGGGTCCCCGCCACAACGCTTGGCGGTTGCACTGACTCAGCTGGCACAGGTGCAGGAGGGATCCCCGCCATGGCCGGCATGTCTGGCATTCTTGGCGCCTCAACCTGAACCTCACCTTGGGGAGCATCGGGCTCACCCTTGTCAGCTGGCTTGGGCACGCGATGCCTAGCCTGTGGAACAACCTTTGTGCCCAGCAAACCAAGCTGATAATCCCAAGGAAATCCTTTGGCATCAATCGCCAAACTCTGCTCGGACTCCCACGACTTGTCATTTCGCCTGATTGACTTGGTGAGCCACGCTCCTGCAGAGTTGCACAAAACATACATGTCATTGCTTGGACTCTTAGTCAGCATGAGGGCTCTGTGCCATCGGCGGTCGCCTTTGTGCTTCCCTTTTCGGTAGCCCCAGACGGGCTCGGCATACATTCCAAGCTTGCCTGAATACCTGAACCCGGTTGCTCGCTCAAAAGCGGTGGCACCTCCTCTGACAGCAAACCTGTTAAGGATGAACGCTGCATGCACGTAACTCCATGCCATCAAGGGGTGACTGGGTCCTAGGTAATCAGGGCCTAAACCGAACTTGGCACGGGCCTGGTCAAGGAAAACATTGGAAAGCCCTCGCAGCAGATCAACCGTCTTTTCCACATACCCTTTGGAGGCATGGGACTCGACAGCAGCATTGCGCACAACGGTTTTGAAGTTCAATCTTGTTCGGACACCGATGATCAAGTTTTGCAGCGCGACAGTGCTTGGCTCATTGTCGGTCTGGAGGGCAATCGTGTTGTGCCCCAGGGACTGCACAAACCTGGTCAGTTCGATCGCTGCAAATTTCAAATCATCTTTACCCTTGCTTGCAACCGGAAGTCCGAAAACTGAACCTGTCGCTGTATCGTGCGCTACTAAAATTGTGAGCTTGTGGTGCTGAAGGTCTGAATCATCTGTGGTCACGGAAGTGTAACAGAAGTCGAAGCTTACAATCGGTGTGTCCCGGTCGGGACTGTCGGGGATCGACTGGTGTCGGTCCTCAAGCCCGCGCATGGACAAGCAGTGATCACACCAGCCTTGGAAAGGCCAGTGAGTGAGATTGTGCAAATCACGCTCGGCCTTCGATGGCTCTTTGTTCATTGCCTGACCTTTTGCAACACGCGTGCTGTCGCCTTCGACTGCTTGAGCAACCTCACTCTTCAGAGCAATGTCCTGCTTCTCAAGATAACACTTCAACCTGTCAAGACAGCGCTGCTTGCTCCCAGACTGGGAGAGACCAGCAGCCTTGCACGAAGCTCTGATGACATTCAAAGTCGATGCCAAAGACAACTCGACGCCATCATACACCAGAACATCTCGCTCACTCTTGCGCTCCGGCATCGGCGCATCTGCAACTTCAACATCAGGCAAGGGAGACACACTCACCTCGGCGGGCTCGAAAGCCTCTGCCATTCCATCATCACTGGGCTCATATTCATCAAGCTCCCCTGCATTGGGATCTGCTGGCTGCGGCCCGCTCCAACTGATGTAGTCCTTGACTGACCTGCTTGGCACAATCATCATGTCCTCAAGCGGCGCTCGATCAGTCGTGAGCACACACACAACATCGGATTCCCCGTGCGGTAGCACAGCAGACAACTCCTGAAGCTCACCCCAGCTCACACAGTGTTCAAGCAGGAGCCAGTGGTCGTAGCCGTCTCGGCACGGCTTCACAAGCGTGGTTCTGCATGGCCACCCAACAGGGGCAACGATGGAAGGATCGATGAAGTGCGACCCTCGGCCGCGGAAGAACATATCACCCTGCTCTGACATCTGCCATCCAAACGGTGCATCAATCATGCTTGCATCAATCGTTGCTTGAACAAACCTGACATGAAGTGCAGGATTCACAGACTGCTCACCGACACGGTAAATGGCAGCTTTGATGCATAGCGAATTGCCCTTGAAGCTCATCGGCACTCGGATGCCACTGTCATGCTCAAGACACATGGTGGGCTTGCGCTGTGGCCACCACCCAGCACGCATGAGCTTGCCCTTGCACAAGAGAGGCTGAGTGACAGGTGCAATCGCGCAAACTTCTCGCCACACAATCGGCTCACCTTCTTCACTCTGCAAAACGAAATCAACTTCTCTCAAATCGTTCACAGCAAGTGGCTCGCCCTGTGCATCTTTCAATGCTAAGCCTCCGGCGCCCTGACTGGTGCCATGCGTGGCATAGCAAAGTTGCAGGCAACTCATGTCTGCTCCACTGTCAAGAATGATCTCATGAGCTTTTGAGTCGTGCACCAACATGTCAATGGAATGCACTGCGCACACAAACTGAGGAATCCCGCTGCAGTCTGACTCGTCCTGAAGATCAAAGGTCGATGCAGCTATGCACCACGACCCTGCATTGGCATCACAAGCTGACATGTCGAAGCTGTGGTCACACTCGGACCCGGGACCCTCTGGCACGCTGCACTGATCTTGCTCAAGCAAAATGGGACCCTCTGGCACGCTGCACTGATCGTAAAATTCAAAACGACCTGTGGGGACTGGATTGCCTCGGCTCTCAAACCCGTTGAAAATGTTATCAAGACAATCGCTCAAGCCATCCGAACACTCGAAGCGCTCAACTCCCGAAATTGTCAAGACATCTGAAACTAGATATCCCAAGCCAAGGTGGCTGGCACGCATTGCATCAAGAAAATCAAAATCTGAAAATTCTGAAATCCCTCTCGGCATGCAACCTGTGGGGCACTGGATTGCCTTGGCTCTCAAACCCGGCTCGGCTATGACGGCACGCACATGGCCGCCTGCAAACCAGCTTGACGTGTCACCAAGATCAAAGACCTGCACACGGCGAACGGCTGTGGTTGCCGTGCTCGATGCTGCAGCCTGGCTTGCACTGTCTGACGGCTGCACCTCAGAAACCTGATTGACACGGCCTTTCTCATGCTTTTGCTTAAGCCAGCAATCCTTCTCCAAGTGACCCTTGCGCTCACAGTAACGGCAGGTGCGAGTCTCAGTTGCAGGAGGCGGACCTTTGGGAGTGTTGCCGCCTTTGCCCTTGCCTTTTGGCTTGCCCTGGTTCTTACCACCTTTACCGCTTTGTGGCTTGCCACCATGACCTTTGCCTTTTGGCTTGCCTTTGCCTTTGTCACCTTTGCCCTTAGGCTTGCCCTTATTCCACGCGACACGATCAATCTCCATGGGCGCGGGACCGCCTGAGGACGAAGATGCAATGCCAAACGTGCTGGCAATCGAAGTGCTCCACTTTGTCTGGGAAGTGTCCCAGCGCTCAATCAAATTCCGAAGATCCTGATACGTGGAGCTTTCTGTGATCAAGACGGTGGCCTGGGTCCTGAGTTGTCCGGACAGACATCGGAGAACGGCGGCCAAACGATTGTCGTCTGACATGCTAGTGCCAGTCAGGCCTTCATATTCATTCACCGCACTCTCGAAGCGGGTGAGTTGGGTCATAAGGCCGGTCCGGTTGTCAAATGCGGGCCACGAGTGTATTGCTTGCAACAACGCCAAAATGCGATTGCGCGAACTCGGCATTAAATCTTGACTGAGGATTCTATATGCCTCAAACCCGTTTGCATCTGTCAAGGATTTCAAGACTCGCTTGCCTTTGTCATGCAAGAGCCCGGCTAAGACACCGTAAAGAAGTCGGGACCTGTCTGCTTCAGCTTCAGTCAAGGATGCAAGTGCAATCGGATTGGCAGGCCTACGACGGATTGTCTGAAGCTCCACGCCAAATGCTCGATCAAGACAAGACAGGTACTGTTCCAACTCCCAAGACCAATTAGCCCACAGTGAAAGCTCTGCATCCCGGTCCTTGGGACGGAAAGGCTCAGGAGCCTTGAGGACCTTTGCAAGGTCGCGCCCTCGGATCGCCTGCTCCCTAGGCGCTGCAGTGTTGTTGGAAACAAGGGTTGTCAGGTTTTCCAACACTTGCATCAACCGCTCCTCGTCGCACACTCAGGTTTGGTGCGTTCTGCGTTCTGTGGCTCATTTCCACTTGGAGCTGCTGTGGTAGGAGCAAGCTGCACGCCGCAGGCGCAATATGTGCAGTGTTTGGCATGAGCCATTTTTTTCGAACTTTGGTACTGCAAGGTTAGTGCAACAAAAAAACGAGTTGTGTTTGCAAGCTTTTTTGAGCATAGGTTTTGGAGTGTTCCGGAACCCAGGATTCGAACTTCCAGGGGGCTCGGAGGAGAGGGAGAGAACAATAACTCCGGAACTCAGGGTTGAACCTTGGGTTCGAACTTCTCGAATCCAGATTAACTCTGGATTCGAAAACCTGGTTTGAAGCTCCATGTTCGAACTCCGGGTTCGGGAACTTCTCTTTCTTTCCCAGAGAGTCTGAACCCAAGACTCTGGGTTCGGGAACTCTATGTTGGAACGTGAGGTTTGGAGAACTCTATGTTGGAACCTCGGATTCTGGAATTCGTCTCCTAGAGCATTCGAACCCTGGGTTCGGGAACTCCATGTTTGGTGGGGAGCTGCGTCCTCTCCAACCCCCCTGCTGTTTTTAGAAGCTTGCCAAAAACAAAGAAAAGACTACATGACCAGTCCCTGCCACAAAAAGGAAGAAGCCACACGAAACCGCTTTGGTGGTTTTTGCGAAGAAATCAAAAAAAAGACAAAACAAAGAAAAAGATTGTCAATGACGAGGAGTTTTTCTTCTTAAGGGAGCTTCAGAAGGATCCGTTCGAACAGAACACCAATCCTTATTATCACACAAAGAAGAAGAAGCCACACAGAATCGCTTTGTGGGGAGTTTTTGCGAATAAAATCACTGAGAGCACACTACAATGACAGAAACCACAAACTCAACCGCAAGCACAAGCAAAATGAGAAGAAGACACACGAAATCGCTAATGGGGTTGGCGAAAAAAATAAAATGAGAGAACAAGAAGCAATGATACAAGAGCTCGATCTCTGGGTTCGGAAACTCTATGTCCGAAAAACCTGGATCTCAACTCTTTAGGACCGCTAGAAGTTCGAACTTTGGGTTCGGAAACTCTTTTTTAAACTTAGTTCAAAGTCTTCGTCTTTCAGAGTTCAACTCCAGGTTCAACTCCAGTTCAAAGAAGTTCAGACTCTCTCTGGGGAGGGTGTTCCAGGACTCCACTCTGTGATAGCTACAAGCCTAAGTTCAAGACATGGGTCAGAATTCGGTACTTCGGAGCAGTGTCGATTCGCGGGCCTACGGCCCGCAGCTCTGACGATCTCAGGGGCTCTAAAGTCTTTGCAAAACGGGCTTTAGAGGAACTTTAAGGGCGCGCCACTTGCCAGCAGCTGACGAGTGCTCGCCGGCAGCTTACGAGCTGCTTGCTGGCAACTTACGAGCACTCGCCAGCAGCTTTGCCGGCAGCTCACGAGCTACTTGCTCGCAACTCACGAGCTGCTTGCTCGCAACTCACGAGCTCCTTGCTTGCAACTCACGAGCTGCTTGCTTGCAACTCACGAGCTCCTGGCTCGCAACCCACGAGCTGCTTGCTTGCAACTCACGAGCTCCTTGCTTGCAACTCACAAGCACTCGGCAACCGCCTACGAGCAACGCACGAGCTGCTTGCTTGCAACTCACGAGCTGCTTGCTCGCAACTCACAAGCACTCGCCGGCCGCCTACGAGCAACTTAGGAGCTCCTTGCTCGCAACTCACGAGCACTCGCCGGCTGCCTACGAGCAACTTAGGAGCTGCTCCCACGCCCTCCGCGCCGAACAAGCGCGCGTAAGCGCGCGTCGCTCCCCAAACAGCTCCGGAGCACGACGGCGCGCCTCCAAACAGCTCGCGAGCGCCCTTCGCGCCCTCAAAGCGCCTCCGATGCCGCGCACGTGCGTTTTGCAAGCACTTTAGAGCCCCTAAGATTGCGACGGGCCACGAATTCGGAGCTTTTGAGCGTCCTTTGAGGCTTGTTCAGGCTTTGTCGAGGCCTGTTTTGATCGAAAATGAGCAGTTTTGTGGCACTGTCAGGCGGCACTGTCAGCATTCGCCAAATCTGGCGAGTTGTGACAGTGGCCCGTTTTCGATGAAAGAATCGGTTGGATCTGAGTTGTTGGAGCAAGGTCGGAATTCCGACCTCGGTCTTTGGGGTCGAAAAGCTGCAAAAAAAAAGTAGCTTTTCAGGCACTGCCAGGCGGCACTGCCAGCATTCGCCAAATCTGGCGAGTTGTGGCAGTGGCCCGTTTTCGATGAAAGAATCGATTGGATCTTGTTGGAGCAAGGTCGGGATTCCGACCTCGGTCTTTGGGGTCGAAAAGCTGCAGACAAAAAAGTGCTTTTCAGGTACTGCCAGGCAGCACTGTCAGCATTCGTCAGATTTGACGAGTTGCGACACCGGCCCGTTTTCGATGAAAGAATCGGTTGGATCTGAGTTGTTGGAGCAAGGTCGGGATTCCGACCTCGGTCTTTGGGGTCGAAAAGCTGCAAAAAAAAAGGGCAGCATTCCGTTCCCCACACGCCCCGACTGGGGGCGACAGATGCTGCAAAAAAACGGGCAGCATTCCGTTCCCCGACAGCCTCCCGCGAGGGAGGCTGGATGGGGGTTCCCCGACAGCCCCCCCGCCAAGGGGGACTGACAGGGGTGGCGAGGCTTCGGAAGCGCCCCATTCCCTGGACGCCTCCCCGGTGCCTCGCCGACCGGCGCGAGCTTCATCGGTGGCTGGGGGATACTGATAACCCCCCAATTGAGCCTTGAACAGTCAGGCACCACTCCACTCGCTGGGACCGCCGTGCCACAACCTAGAGCCTCACCCCGCAAGCGAGGATCATGAGCCCTAGGCCCCGGCTCAGCGTGCCCCACTAGGGTGGAGTAGGATAGGATAGACGACGGTGACGAAGTGAACGACGACGAACGCGACCTGCCTGGTATCGAGGCGGGACAATGGGGGAAAATCCCTGGGGGGCCCGGCGGGGGCTTGTGTCATCCTGTCATTCTGTCATCCTGTCATCGCTGGCTTCGGGGCGAATTTCGGCATCATATGCGCAGTTTTCGGGGCACAAGGCGCCGCGATTGAGCCGCCTCATTCTGACAGCGACTCTTTTAGTGCGAAAATCGCTGCAATTAACTTGGTTTTTAGAGCACCGGGCAGGCAAGGACAGAGCGACCTTCGGCCGTCATCGTCCTGTCATCGGCATTTTCGCTCTCTCGGAGTACCCCATGTCAGATGCTTGAGCGTGAAGTGCGGGCTCTCCACGTCATAGAGCCAAACCCGTCCCCTCGGGTCAGGCCCTGCACCGAAGCATAGGTAATCGCGCTGCAAAGCCGGGTGTGCTTCAGCAGCTCCGGGCCCGCGAAGCACTGCCCGCTCTCCAGGCGCACGACGTCGCCCTCCACGGCTTCCACGGTCAGAAAGGTGCCCTTCTGCACCTTGCCGCCCGCCCCGATGAAGCGCAACCCCGGCCAGACCCTCATGGTCTGCGGCGCATTCGTTGGCACCGCGCCGCAAGCCTCGTACTGCACCACCAGGGCATCTGCAGGCGCCAGCCGGCGGTTCTCCCGCTCGTTGATCTGCAGGCGCTTCGCGTGGGAGATGACCAGGCTCACGTCCGGCTCTCCCCGCCTCGGGAAGCGCCGCCGGGCCTCCCGCACCGCATCAACCAGCGGCACCTGCTCCGGCTCGTCGACTCTGAGCCAGGTCAGGAACTCGAACATCCGCTCGTCGAAGCGCCAGCGCTCCGAGAGCTCGTGGCACCAGCTCCCCGCCAGATCGTGCAGCAGCTGGCTGTGTTTGAGCTCCTTGCAAACCTCCGCCCCCGCGAAGCTGTCCAGCACAGCCGGCAGCTGCCTGAAGTCCCCCAAGAGCAGGAACCGAATCTTCTTGTTCATGCTCAGGCGATGTCAGCCCACAGGGGAGTATCTAACTGAGTCAATTCTTTCGATGACCAGCCAGGTGGCGCTGCAGTGCCCCTTGCGCACATTGCGCCGCACCCAGTGGTCCGCCGTCTGCGCCCCCAGGCCCACGTTTGCACCGCCGCATGGGTCTTCGTAATGATGTGCACCGTGTCCCCGTGCTCCCTCAGAGCCTCCACGATCTTCTTGGCCAAATGCGTCTTGCCTCCCCGGAAACCCCGTCAGCAGCAGGCTCTCGCCGTCCAGGCAGTGGCTCACCGGGTCCTCGATTCGACGCCACGGCGCCTTCGCTCGGATGGGCTCCGCCTCCATGCTGGGCTCCCGATACTGGCCCTTCAGCCCGGTGACCTCCTCGTAGCGATACACAGGCGTGCCGTCCCGGTGCGACATCTTCAGCAGCCGCTCCACAGCGGGGCGGTGCTTCTTGGGGACGTCCTGCATCACCAGACAATCGGTCTTGATGCATTTGAGGTATACCGCCTGGGCACCTCCGCCAGCGCCTGGCGAATGCGCGCCACCGCGACGTACTCGGCCCCCATGATGTAGTCGTGCACCGGGCGGTAGCTGCTGTTCGAGAGCAGCTCCGTCACGAAGACGTGGTCCCAGTGCATCCCCCC